TCATGAGGCGGCGGGAGCGCCGTGAAATGGCGCGGGGTCCCCCCTCACGGCCCCCGCGGCCCCGGAACGCCCGCGCCGCCGTGTTACCGTCAGACGGTGTGTGAAAGACATTCCGGGGCGGTGTGACCGCGGGTTTTAACCTCGGGACCGGACCGCGAGCTTTGTCAGAGCCGGGGGCTCCGAGCCGAACCCGAGGCGGCCCCGCCGCGGGCGCCCCGACCCCGCTCCTGTGCCCGGCGCTGCTCCGGCGCCTCCCGGGCGCTGGGTTTTTAAACGCCAAAATTCTCAAAAATCGCCGCAAAAGTACAGTAGTTTTTTTGGTCTGCATTGACGCGACAGGAATAAACTCCGTGCTTTTCTTGTGGGCATTTTAGGAGATTTTTTGCAATTTTTTCACATCGCTGAATTTATAGAATTTTTTGTTTGTTTAAAGAAGAAAATTTGCAAAGTATTCTGCTTTGTATTATGAGAACAAGAACATTTAGTGAGAATAATATTTAATGAGAACAAGAACGTTTAGCAATAGTAAGAACATTTAACAATAACAAAAACATTTATTATGACTGGGTTAAAAAATGAATAGCCATTTATTCACATATAGCTAAAGCCATTGCCTGGCTTTTTAGCTCTATGTGATACTCAATAACGTTCTGATTAATTCCACACTGAAAAAATAAAACTGGACGAAAACATCCCAACGTGAAATCATTGCAAATCTGAGCTGTGGAGCCCGGAGTGAGTGGTTCTCTGTGAATTATGGTGCTTTATGTCCAAGGGTTTCTTTGCTACCGGGGATCCACTTCAGTTCCTGCTGACAGCTAAGCACTAGGGTATTGACTGTGTTGTGAATATTAAGATTGATTCTGCTTTATGTTGCATTATATTACCCGGGATAAGGGGAATGATCCCTCTCCCTTCCCACCTACCTACATTCCACCTCGGTCGGCTCATAACCCCTTTCCTTTGGCTTGTGTTTGTTTCCTGCCTTTCCCTAAACTTCTTTGCCTGTCCTGCTCTGGAGCCAGAAAACAAACTGCCCTCGGTGTTCAGACATTTGCAGGAGGCTCATTTCAATTAAGGAGGCAGGCTTAGGTCCCGCGGTCACTTTATTTGCAGAGGGCTTAGCCTCAGTGTTTTGAAAGGCAAGTATAGTCCGCCACATGTCAGAGGTGAGCTGCGAAGAAAACCCGAGTCCTTTCAGCAGTGGGGCTATTGGCACAGGGTGTCAGTGAGGCTGCCGTTGGCTCACAGGCAAGGGGGAACCTGACAAGACACTCTGTGGTCTGAAACCTTTCGGGGTGTTTCAGTGATAACTTGTAAGCTGGGATCCTGAATTTGTGCTGCAAGAAGTCGAACAAGTTTTCAAGTTATCTCTCTTTTGTGAGATCGCTGAGAACCAACAAAGAATGAAGGCGTCTGCCTGCCCAAAGACGAGCTCCTGCCAACCCCGCAGCACGGGAGGGACAGCATTAATGCTCCGGGTGATTGATGGAGATGGATCCACACATCCACCAAAAACTCTTCCCGGAAGGGGACCTTCACTCAGGGTCTCCCAGTTGAGGTGAAATATTTGTGCATGCTTTACTTAGTGTGCTAAAGCAAAGAAAACGTGAAAATAAATTGTAGCCTGTTTTCTGGAAGCTGTTCTCGGAAGGAACAAACAATTCTAAACTGGAAGTTCGAGGAAGGGTCTGAGATGCAGTTAAAGCAGAGGTGTCCCCTCTCCCCCAAAGGCTCTGCATTGTCTTGTGGTACGACAGTTGTCAGGTGCTTAAACCTGCCTCCGATGGGGTCATGTGCTGGTGCTTAATTTTTCCTGATCAGAACCAAAGTTTACCTGGGTGTGGGAATTGCCGTGATGGCTTTATCACTCTTCCTCAGAGAGTGTGAGGAGGTAGGCTGGAGCCTAGCAGTCATGTCTGTTGAGAAACAAGTCATGCGATATTTAAGTAATTTTTATCCTGAATTACATATTTATTTACATTTTAGTAGTTTTCAGTACAATCAGCAAGGACTTTGTGAGACTGCCTGGGAGAGAGCATGAGAAGGAATTCTCAATTTACATAGAGCCCCTCTGTCACTTCCCGGCAAGGGTTAATGGATGCATCTCATTTCTGAAAGCCTCACACAGGGTCAGGAGCTGAAGATTTTTATTTTTTCTCCCTGTGAGGTATTTACCATGTACAAAGCAAATCACTGAGTTACTGAATTTAGCCTGACATTTCTTTTTTAGCATTTTAACATTTTCAAAAGTGCTGCATAATACATTTAAGTGCTTTACAGCTATTATTAGCTGTGTGTCTTCTGAGAGGCAACCACAAGGTAGCACGGTGTTCATAAAGAAACTGCCACCTCTGGCTTTAATTAGTTCAAAGAAAAATTATACCAGAGTTCTACTGAAGCCCCTCCAATAAAATAGGAAGATAAGCAAGTGAGGAGCCAGTGACTCCGTTTGGCTGTGCTTTGCCCACTCTCCGAGGTGTCACTGCACACAGTGAGGTTGCCGTTGCAGTGCACGCTCACATCTGTTGCATACCTGTGTCACAGTCCGTTTCTTCATGTCTTGCCAGGAGGAATCAAAATCTGGTTTGCACCATTGTTTGTTTTTTTGAAGTAGCTCTTTTTTACTGACTAAAACACTTTCAGATTAGTGATTTTATTAAGTTTCCCCCAGGATGTTGCTCAACCTGGGGTCCTGGTTATTCTTACGGAGAAAGAAGTGAAAATATATTAATCCTTGTAGTCTTAAAATGTCATAGGGAATTGCAATTATTTCCCAATGGAACAACATATTATTAGGTCCTGCACTGTGTTGATAGATAATTTGGGTTTTTGTCTTTAAGTCATTTGTAGAGACAGGACTGCAGGTTTATAAAAATGTCTGAATTTATATGCACACCGTGTACACATCTACAGTTACTTATTTATTTATTTACTTCCCCAAGTCCAGTAGCAACAATGATAGCTGCCAACCAACTCCGAATTTACTGTCACCACCACCCCTAAATAGCATTCATTTCCTAGTAAAGCCTAATGGCATACATGATGGTTTGCCAGATTTGTGGCCTTTGTGAGGCTTATAAGCAGGACTGACTTGGGAAGATCATAAAACTTAATGAACTTCTCGACTGCAGGAGGTGTCCGCAGGGGAAGCAAAAGGCCTGCTCGGCTGCTCGGGCTGCTGCAACTATTTTTTATGTCTAAAGAGAGAGGATGAAAATGTTCATTAAGAACGTTCTTTCCTTGCATAGATTTTTGTTTTAAAGAATGAATAAGAAACCTCTGAAAACCAGACAAACTGTATGTTAACCACGGGGTTAATTCCTCGCTGTTCCCATGTAAGTTACCTTTATTTTTATTACTACAACTGTAACTGGCCGCGCGCTGCTGTCCCTGTGATTAAAGGGCTGCATCGGGCCCTGCTCAGTGCAAAGCTCCTTATTGATGACATGGCCCGAGCGCTCAGGAACGCCCCTTGTCAATATGCTGCAGAGCCTGGAACCCGCGGCGAGGGGACTCCTTGGAGCAGCCCTGGCTTCGCGTGCCTCTGGCAGAGTTGGAAAATGTTAACCCCTGTCGGCACCGAGGGGGTTGCAAAAAACCACTCACAGCACTCTGCCCTTGCACTGCATAAATTTCAACTTTTTAGCGTTAGTAAACTATTGTTTGGTGCAAACAACTCTCAATAATACACTACAGCCCACAGTCCTGGCAATCCTGCCGGAACATGAGAGGATTCAGTTGGAACAATGAAATAGCACTGATAGCATTCATATATGTGTGTGTGTGTGTGTATTTTGGCTATTTTCTGAATATCAGCTGTGATGTTATTGTTACTCACTTTAGCTGTTTAATTAATTTATGTGCAGTACTGTTTGGTTTTTTTCCAAGCTGCTAAATACATATTTTGTTGTTCCCTGCCTACCTGAAGAAGTCGGGGCTGGGTGTTTATGTGCATCCAGCTCAGCTTAAATTGTTCAGCTTTTGCTTCCCATCTCATGCTTCAGCACCAAGGTTTGTCACTGACCCAGTGGTTATACTTTTAAATGTATTTTTTTAATTGCCAGCAGATGTATTACAAATGATGCCGTGCAGCAGAACGTTTGGTTGTTTGCACTGTCCTTATGGCAATGACATTGCTTTTCTTCATAGATGTCCTACTAGGAAAAAATAAATTTACTAAAGTGTCTTGATTGTCGTCTGGTCATCTGTTTCCAACACATTCATTATAAGCAGCCTGGTTCTTTTGTGGATTTCTACCAGGGCACTTCTGTAGTTGAGAAAATAGCGATTTGATGATTATGGGCTTTAGAAAATTTCGTGGTATTTTGTCTCACAGAACCTGAGACTGCACCTTATCTTCAGTGCTTCTCATTGCTGATGCTCCTAGGTGCATGTAAATATCCATCTTCACCTTGAGTACTGGGATTAGTGGTTCCTGAGATTTTTTTTCCCCTCTGTAGAGGATATATTTGGCCCTACTTGTCAATACTAATTTAAGCAGAAACAGGGATTAATTTTATTTATTTTATATATTTTATTTTATAGCTGTCTTTCATGTCCTTCCATTTATTTTCAAATTCAACACATTTGCTTGCTTATCTGAAAATACCAAATTATAGCAGTTACCATGTGGTGTATTTTAGGATGCTTGTAAGTTAAGGAATTTTTGCATTCAGAGATAAATTATTATCATGGCACGTAGGGAATGCAAAACAGTCCTTCTTTTTTTTTTTTTTTTTTTTTTTTTTTTTTTACAGGATTTAACACATTTATCAAGCTCCGTTCCCGTAGCTTTCAATGGAAAAGTTGTATGATATGGATATTATGCTGTCTTTTTTCAATTTAAACATTGATTTGTGTGAAACATTAATATAATGATATTTGCAGTCTACCGTAGACAAATATAAGCAGAATTAGACACTCTAAATTGTTACAAATGCAACGCAATATTTAAATCTGAATGAAGGCTGTATTAATAATTACGGAGCGGAGCGCGTGGCAGTCCGGTCGGGATCTGTCCTCAGATTTTCGGCTGTTTTTCAATTCCTTGCACACGGTGCACATGATGGCTCGATGAATATTTTTATGAACAGCAGGAAGGAATGTGAATCCGTGCGCGAGCGAGCCCAAAGCAGCGGAGCCCCGAGCGGAGCTGCGCGCCCGCGCCGCGCTGGAATTAGCCCGAGCTGTCGGAGCGCCGCGATTGACACCCCGAGAAGAATGCTTTGTTTGTTTGCTCAGCAGTCATGTTTAATGCTCTTCGCTTATCAAGGTGATCAGCATGGTTCAGATAACACATGCCTGACACCGCCTGCCTTTTCTCACCAGCGTGTTGACCTTTTGTCACGTTTGCTTTTCTCTGGTAGGCAATTCCTGGCTTTAAGTGTGAATGGAGTAAATAATTCACATCAATATTTAATATAAATTATTAAAGTTTCTGTCAGCTCTTACAGTTCATGCTTTTATAGAGTTGGAGTAGTTCATCAGCCAAACAGATGAATTGTGCAGCTCAGCTGGACATTAGAGCTCCTCCACCGTGCTGCCGGGACTGGGGAGGAAGCAGGGAATTAAATAGCAAAGGTAATGCAGCCTGGCCCTTCAACGCTGTGTGTTTTTCAGCAACGCACATTCTCTAGAAAGGCTCGAAGTACTAGATAAATATCCAGCATAATTTATTTTATTAGTCCTGTACTTTTTTTTTTCCCTCTTCATGTTGCAAACAGAAATGCAGAAAACCCCAGTGACCCCCGGCATTGTCTTCTACTCTTTGTTAATGGCCTTCCTTTGGTGTTCCAGGCCCTTCCTGGGCTTAGGGTGGGAGTATTGGTGCTGGGAGGTAGGGTTTGGGTGCTTGGGGTTTTCTTTCCCCTCAGTGTTCTTTTTCTATTTTTAAAGACTGGTGTGGAGCCCTAAGGTGATGAAGTTTCAGATGTTTTTGGACCTTGTTTATAAATTGCAATTTATATTTTGCAAAGTGACCTGTGATTGAATGTAGATACTGAAAACATTTTTTTAAAGGAGAAAAACTCTGATCTCTGATTGTAACAGCTCAAATGTGTATTTTGCATCAGGAATTTAATAAAAATAGCATGTTTTGCATAAAAGCATATAGTAAAAATCGTTATGCGCCTACTTTAATTTTATGCTCCTTTAGGTGTTTCAGTTCTTTTGTTAAGGATCAGTTCAATGCGTGTTGCACAGTCACAGGGACTGTAATAATGTGAATCACTGAATATCCCATGTAATACAAATCCATCACCTGGAAGGGAGGTGGGTTTGTATCCTGTGTTTACAGGTCAAACCCTTTTGCTATACTTCAGTCATGCATCAACATTTAAAGCTAATCTCTCATTCCTCATTGTCCAGCAGGTGGCTTTGTCATAGATTATTTAATTTTTAATCATTTATTGTAAGTGGAAAAGGTTATTTAATAATATTATCCTGACAGCATTTTTTTAAAAGAGCTACAGTTTTCCAGTATGTCCTGTGGTGTATGACAGGGTCAATGGAAGCATCTAGAGAGCTTCAAATACACAATCTAAATTAAGATTCTAAACAGGCATTACAGATGCTGGTAACTTTGGCAATTATCATTTTGTTTGGTGAACAGTAGTAAAACAGTGTGCGGTAAAAGTGTTTAGAGAGAGAGGATAAATAAATTGAACAGTTTTGCAATGCAAAGTGGTTTGTGGTGTTTTTGAGGATTTCTTGGCTCTTGCTTAACTGCTATTGTGAAGCCTGGAGCAGATTTTCCCATTGCTAATGCCCTAGAAGTATTAATTCACTTTGATATGCTAATTAGAGGGCATTATGCAAGAAATGAGATTAAGTGGCAGCATGAAGCCATTTGCCTGTCAGTAAATTGAGAGCTTTAGCATCAGGAGGAGCTTTGTTTTTTCTGAGTTTCTCTTGGTTTTGCATATAAATAAAATTGATTGAAAGGTCTAGAGAAGCTTCTAGAACATTGGTGGTTCTTTTTCTCCTTCTATGATTATTTAAACTTCATGTTAAAGCCTTTCTCTGAATATTAATTGATCTAATGGGAGATACTGAACATGAAGAATTTCATTGTATTCTCAGTTACTGTATCTTAACAAAAGGAAAGTATTAGAATTCTTTGTGTCATCTGATTTTTGTGGGATTATTTTAGATATATCTTACAGCTTTGTATTCTAATGTCTCTGCCTGCTCACAGCTCCTGTGCTGAGAGCTGTACCTGTGTGGAGGTGTTTTTGCCAGTTCTGCTGTTTCGGGGATTGGTGTGAGGGCCCAACCAGCTGAAGGCAAGTGGAAGGCTCGGATTCCTGGCCAATGGGGCTGTGGACATTTGTCACCCCCACTCACCCACAGCGTTTCCCACCATTTCTGATGCAAATCACACATGTATTTTCCTTCCTTTAGGAAGGAAGGGGTTGTAATACTGACCATAGATTTTATTCAACTGTCAAAAATTGTGTTAAAGTAACATTAAGGGATTGACTTACAGCCATAAGAGTGAGGGAATTTGGAGTTAATAGTTAAACTCTGCCCTTAACTCCACTCATTGAACCTATTTATTAGAGCATATATGATACATAAGAGCACTGTGCTGAGACCTCTGCTGTAGCAGGATGCTCCAGGATGGCTCAAAGATGAGATGTTCTGATCTAGTTCAAATTTTCCTTTGTTTTTTGAGGATTGGAGGTTTTTTTTTGTGTATGTGGTTTTCATTCAGCCTCTGAGTTGCTTTACTACAGTTTTGTGATTAGTTTTCTTTTTGCAATACTGTTTAAAAAAAAAAAGCAGAGAAGTAATTCTGGAAATTGAACAAAAATTTAGCAAAAAATAAATCCAAAGCAAACCCAGCCCAAGCCTCTCTAGTCCTCTTTGCCTGAGTGCAGCAGAGTGGCTGTTTGAGTGCCCATCTCCTCCACAGATCATTGTCGCAAACTCGATCAGGGGAGCAGTGCTGGAGTGACAGTGCTTGTTATGAGCCCCAATAGTTATTTAAAAGAAAGGAAAAAGGATAAAAAAATGGCCCAGAGCTGCGTGCGGGGGCTGTTCATGCTGGATGCACATGCTCTCCCTGATCCTGGCAGCTGAAGTCTATCACTGTTGGGAAATTTTTAACATGAACCACATGAGACACAAACCACGGCAGTTTCCCCGGAGCCACAGGGGTTTCCACGTCAGCGCAGGACAAGTGGCACGTGCGCTGCGGGTCCCTGCCCGCGTCCCTGCCCTGGGCGCCCGCAACAAAGGGCCCCAGTGCAGTTTGCATGGGAAGCATGATGTCCCTGGTCACCCACAGCTCCCCAGAGCCTGGCCCAAAGAATCCCATCAGGAATTTATAATCCAAAACTTTAGTTGTCATAGTGAACCTTTTTGATACTGTAAGGAACAAAACATCACCCGACACTGCAAAGTCAGTTCTCACAGGCAGCAAAAGGAAGCGTTGCTGGGCTCCTCATTCCCTCTTCCAGCAGGAAGCTGCTCATTTTGGGTTTCAGATTGTTGAACAAAAGAACTAAGTAATGAAAATGTTCTGAAGCCAACCTTAACTTTCCCAGTACCAGTAGACCCCTGATGGCATTGTTTCAGGAGAAGAAGATGCTGGAGAGGAAATCCTGGCATTGCTGGTTTGAGTCCTGGTGCTGCTCTTGACTGGGGAAGAAACCTTCCTCCCCCTTGAGTGAGGAGGGGTGTGGTGACCTCGGTAGGGTAGATCCCGAGCTTGGCTGCCAGCTCATGGAACTGAATGCAAGAGCTTGCTTATCTTTAAAATGGGAATGTTATCCATCTGATTTTTTGTGAAGGTTGTGTTGACTTGGTGCTGTGTATTAAAAAGGAATAATTTTATCAAGCATTGAGTTTAATCAAAATTGTCAGAGGTAAACTATCATACAGAATCCGCTTTTGCAGTCCACATTGGCCGCAGACGAGTCTTACCCCCTGGAAATGAAGAAATTAAGTTTTCCTTAGACTTCTTTTCTTGGCTTTAATCAGGAATGTTTTTTCACTCCATGGTTAGACCTCTGCTTGGAGGATATCAGAGTTTTGTGCCTTGGTGGTTGGTTTGCTCAGTACAGAAAGAGAAGGTTTGCTCCCGTTGCCGGGGATCGGTGCTTTCTTTGCACAGTAGCTGTTTGAGGCAGGGTGGCACACTCAGAAGGCTGTGCCAGGCACACTTTCATATATTTGTTGATTAAAGAAGGAAGCCTGCTTTTAGTGAGGTTTGTAATTACAGAACACCCAAATGTTTGCTTATTTTCTTTCATGCGAGATCCTGGTAGCGTGATTGACTGTCACTAGTGAGAACAAGTTACAGTAGATTGTGCAATGATTCTTATTTGACTTCAAGGATGTATTTATTACCATTTTTGAACAAATTATACTAACATGAAAAGTTGTGGAAATGATTGTGCACTAGATAAGGTGATACATTACAGGAGTGGTTGGGTTTATGGAGCTTTATGCCGAGGTTTTCTCAGAAATTATAGCACAGTCCTGTCACTATAAAACCTGGAGATACACTTGGTAATAACATGCAGTGGAGGGATTTTTAGGATTTCACTTGTTATTCAAATAGAGCGGGAACTATCAGTTTTTCTACCTCGTATTTCTTTCTTGCGTTGCAGTGGGTGAAGAGGGGAAAGGAAGCCTGAGAACAGCAGAGTGGGCGCTGGGGTGTGGGCACCACAGCCCTGCCCGATGCCACCAGTGCCACCAGCTCAGTGCCACAGGGCTGGGGAGGTTTTGGGGCTCTCTGGGTACCCAGCGCTGGCCTGGGATGCTGAGGGAGATTTGCCCTCCAAAGGCAGCTGAGGAATTTTTTTGTGAATTATTTCTTGCTTCCCCTCTACTTGTTAGGGCAGTGACGTGATATCGATATGGAGCTTGGGAACTTATTGACTTGTTGGTTCTTGACCTTTTGACTGTGACCAAGTATAGAAATTGAATGTCTGAAAATTAAATGATAGACTCTTTATACATAAATTCTTGGATGTCAGTGTATTACATGAACTAATTTCGGTTTACCTAAATTTATGGTGTTTTGTGTTCAATAAAGGAAATATTTCTTCCTTTCAATATACCCAGCATCTAATAATATTGTAGTTGCTAACACTAAACAAATCCATTTCCTTTTGCTGGCTGATTATCATAACAACTGCTGTTTAATCACCGAGATTGTTATGTAACTTTTAAATCTCTAATATTTTGGAGCGGTGCAAGCGACATCATCTTGCTGCGTGGTGGTGTGATGTCATCAACGCTGAACCATGCGGCCGTGTTTTGTGGGGCTCCAAACTCAAGTTCTTATTTAATTTAGCCATATTTAATGGGCTGGGAACACTTGCTGAGCGAACTGCCTGTTTGAAAGGAGATCCAAAATATAACACACAGTCCGCGTCCTGTGTTCCATGAAACGAAAAAGGGACATTTGTTTTCCTGTCCTGGAACTGTGGCACGGTGGGGCCTGATGGAAATGCCGTGCCCAGCTCCTGTCCGATGGAATTAGCCGATCGCTAATGTGGCTTTGTGGCCGGCAGCGAGACTCGGGCCTCCAAACCGGGGTGACGGAGCCGGCAATATTGTTCTCTCCGAGTGCCGCAATAAGGCTGTGGTCAGCACTAATGTAAATATTTGTACAACAACCATGTTCTACAGCCTCCAATTTAATGGTAAAAATCTGCCCTGAACGCCTGGGTAAATATATGCTGAGAACAGACGCCCATTCACTGGAGAAACAATTGACTTTAGGTTCTTTGTTGTTAAAGTGGCCCCCAGTGATCGGCTGCGGGGAGGCGATAGCGGCGCGGGCGCCGTCGGGCTGGGGCTCCCGGGCAGTGCCCG